ACACACACACACACACACACACGCACACACACACGCACACAGCACAGCGCAGATTAAACACTTTACTGAGAACAATTCAGCTGCCAGACCTGCCAGAAACACACAAACACACAAAGAGAAGGAGAGAGACACACAGACAGACACACACACACAGAAAAGACACACAGAGACACAAACACACAAAGACAGACAGACAGACACACCCAGACACACACAGAGACACACAAACAGACACGCACACTCAGACAAGCACGCACACTGTATTTATGAACCACTTTTATGAGTCTCTTTCTAGGTCAGACATGACAAAACACACACACACACACACACACACACACACACACACACACACACACACACACACACTCTCTCTCTCTTTCTCTAAAAGCATGATCATGAGTCTGATCTGGTAGAGCAATAATGTTTTTAAACAGAAAAAATGTGTGTATATATACTTATATAAAAAAATTGGAAAATATAAAACAATAAGTCAGTGAGATAAAATGTATCTTCAATTATTAATATATGTATGCATGCATGTATGTGTATATATATATATATATAAATCTGCGCTAATGAGCAGTTGGACAGGTGTACCTAATAAAGTGGCCAGTGAGTGTATATATCTGATTTAACTCTTATTATTTAAGAATAAATATTCACTTTAGTGGGATCTGAAATATAAATCCAATTTAAGAGGAAAATCTCAGTATTTCACAGACTCCATTGGCAGATATTTGTTCTCGTTTTGATTCATTTTTTCCAACATCTACCACATTTAAGCACTTAAATTCACTAAACCGAATCAATAAAAGCAAACCATGCTGAAGTCGACCCCTGCTTCATTATAAGAGTGCGTCACAGTGAGCATCTGCTGTTTGCTTCTGGAGGATTTCACTGCAGTGTTTACTCCTGCTTTGGCTCATAAAAAGGTAATTGGGCATTAAAGCGAGATCTGCAGAAGCGATCAGCGGAGTGTGTGTGTGTGTGTGTGTGTGTGCTTCAGTGTGTCCCTCACCGGTTTGTACTCCATGTCGGTGTACTCTTTGAGCGAGCAGCGCAGCGTTTCCACCCATTCTTTATCGCACACAGAGTTCTCCTGCGTACCGAACACATAGATGTCGTGAGGGATGGTGACCGCCATCTCATCCAGAGTCTTCCCCAAACCCCGAGACAAGATCCAGGAGCCCAGAGGTTTAGGAGCAGGAACACTGCCTGGGGAAACAGGCGGAGAGGTCGTCAGGGTGTTGCTATGGTGTAGTGAGTGTAAGTCATGGTGTAGTTATGATGTAGTAAGTGGTTGCCATTGTGTTGTTATGGTATAGTAAATAGTCATCATGGTGTTGCTTAAATGTTGCGAGTGGTTGTCATGGTGTTGATATTGTGTTGTGACTAGTCGTCAGGGTGTTGCTATGGCGTATTGAGCGGTCATTAGGGTGTTGCCATGGTATAGTTAGTTGTTATGGTAGGTGAGTGGTTGTCATGGTGTTGTTATGGTATGGTGAGCAGTCGTCATGGTGTTTGAGTGGTTGTCATGGTGTTGATATGTTGTAGTGAGTTGTTATGGTAAAATGAGTGGTTGTAATGGTGTTGTTATGGTAAAGTGAGTGGTTGCCATGGTGTTGCTATGGTAAAGTGAGTGGTTGTCATGGTGTTGTTATGGTAAAGTGAGTGGTTGCCATGGTGTTGCTATGGTAAAGTGAGTGGTTGTCATGGTGTTGTTATGGTAAAGTGAGTGGTTGTCATGGTGTTGTTATGGTAAAGTGAGTGGTTGTCATGGTGTTGTTTTGGTGTAGTGAGTACTTATGATATTTTGAGTGGGTGTCATTCTTTTATAATGTAGTGAGTGGTCATCATGGTGTAGTGAGTGGTTGACAAGGTGTTGCTATGGCGTAGTGTACATTCATTATGGTGTTGTCA